GATATATAATATACATAATAATATACACATACATTCATTATGTAAATAAAGGCGCCTAAACGTATACCACAAATCTGTTTCTTTTCGTGTTGTATCTTTCAAGCATTTGTGCAAAGAAGTAATGTCGCAAAACTCATAAACTTCAATGGACAATATCTCAGGTTTGGAACAAGATATGTCGTTGAGTTAAACAGCCTTATCAAGGGGAAATATTTTACTTTCAAATGATTTATTAAATTTTCTAAAAAAACGAACTGTTCTTGATGAAAATACATGACGAATATAGCAAAAAGTCGGGGCTTTCGCATGTTTAGGCTCAAATATCTCGAAAACCTGAGCCAATCTGGATTCAGATTCAGCGCATCAAAAACCTGTGTTAGTGTTAACCAGACATTGAGTAACCGGCCCTTAGTATATTACAGCTTTTTTATGCAAAATTGATTGTTGTTTACATATTATGAGAGCGCAAATGGTAGCAGAACTGTGTTGCCACATCTAAAAACCAAGGGTGGAAAGTAAGACCAAATGAAAATACGATAAGGTTCTTTTGTTCAGATTAAAATAAATATTAGGGGGATAGGGGTTATAATCCCCTATATATATGTATATTATACTATATAGGGGTTATATTTGCATAGAACACCTTTCTACACCCTCACTACGTAGAATTCTCTTTTCTGTATTGCCAAAGAAGAGCCTTACATGACTTTTTGCATAGAAAACCTTTCTGCGTAGGCGGCTTTCCGCCGCACTTATTGATTATAACCCTCACAACGTAGAATTCTCCTTTCTGTGTTGCTTAAGAAGGGGGCTGAACAGCTTTTGCATAGAACACCTTTCTGCGTAGGCGGCCTTCTGCCGCACTTAGGGATTATAACCCTCACAACGTAGAATTCTCCTTTCTGTGTTGCCGAAAAAGAGGGGAATGTGACCCTAATCCCCCTACTATTTATTTAAATCTGAACAAAAGAACCTTATCGTATTTTCCTTTCAATCGTATTTTCTTTTGGTCTTACTTTCCACCCTTGGTTTTTTTAGATGTGGCAGCACAGTCCTGCTGTTATTTGCAAATATTCTGCATGTACTCTCATAATAATTAAACAACAATCGATTTTTGATAAAAAAAAAGCTGTAATATACTCATGAATCAATAATACAAGGTTAGATAATTATTGACAGCCGCGGATTGACACTCACTTACAAAAGGTTGCATTTACGAAGGACGGAGAAAGGGAAAGAATGAAATCCCTTGGTGCGAAAATGTTAGTAGAAAAGTACGCAAAGTAGTAGTAGTGAAATTCCTTTTGTAACTTCTAATGTATTTGCAGGAAATCTGGCATTTTAAACGAAATATTGAACGAAATATTAATATATCTACGTGAATTACGTAATTTATGTGCTATTAAGCTGTATAAAAACAGCAAAAGGACTCAAAATTTAAATAAAACTACTATGAGATTTATGTAAACATCCAATATAAATACCATTTATGTTTTCATCAGTTAAATGTGCTTCATATGCATATACAAATAAACATTTTGCACAAAAGCTTATACTTCTATTACACACCAAAGCTACACTTTTTTCAAGTAAATTTGCAAAGAAGCAACACGGTGCCATTGCTAACTTGCTGTCTCCACAGGCAAAAGTTTTTATCTTGATAATGTTATCAGGCAAAATTTTGCCCATGGAGACCGCATATTGCTCTTGGCAAGCAATAATTATCAGAGCTTTTATCTTGATAAATATTGCCAGCAATTTGGTACTTTGACAGCTACATTTTCATTTGCGCGATAGCTTCGTGGAGACAACATTATCGATATTTCAATATAAAAAGCTCATAAAAATTGTTGAATAAATTTTTTTAATAAATTTTTTTTAATTTTTTTATTTTTATTTATTTTATTTTATTACATTTCATATTCGTTTTCATATTCTGCTGTAGGTGGTCCCATATTCGAACTCCGTCAGACATAACTTCAAAATGATAATATGTAATTTTGATCTTCCTTTTATTTGTCCTCAACGCGTTTGTCCAAACGTGTTTAAAGAAAACAATCTCCTTCATTACTCCTGCATTACTTGTCAACTAGTTTCAAGCTAGCTTTTTGTAGCTAAATACAAGTTCTATATTTTTTTGTAGAAATCCCGCAAAAAAGCTAACTACAACTGGGTTATTTTTTATCAATTGATAATTTTTTTCTGAAGGACATATCCGTATGTACTATTTAAATTTAAAGAAATAAAAAATTTTAAAAGCTATTGGGATAATTTACGGATTACATATTGAAAACAAGGTTGTCTTCTATTTTCTAAAAGTTTAACCCATCAACTCGAACCAGAACGGGTCTTTTTGACCCACTGTTTAAAAAAAATGGCTAATAGATGGTTAAAATTTCCACTAAAATATTAAGCGCCAAATTTTTCTAAGGAGAACCGAATGTAATGAAAAATAATACTAATTTTTACCAAACGGGGGAACTTTAACCCTTTGTAGAAAACGTTGCGATGCGAGGGAGCAAAACTTTCCTGGGGTTTGACCACCACTAAGGAATGCTAACGTAATTTTCACACAGCTACCTAGTACTTGTATACGTATTTGGGACCCCAGAATAAAATAATTTACGAATGTAAAAATTTGCAAAAAAAGTGTAGGCTCTTTATTAAAAGTCTGTTTAAAATATAAAAAAAAAATACTCAGGAAAATCAACTTGTCTTTGTTTTATCTCTAATTATTGAGGAGTTAGATGGAATGAGTTAGATGAACAGAAGCTGCTTCTGTTAAAACTGCTTTCTGAGATATTGGCGTTAAAGTTTTTGATGTGTTATAACTTTCTCGTTGTTGTAGTAAAATAGTAGTATTATTGTAGTATTGGAAAGAGTTGTCTGCTGCGGAAAAAAATCGTTAGATTACCAGTATTCGACCCTAATTTAACTGTAATAAACGCTTTCGATCGAAAAATATGTTACCTATGTTTTTTCTGAGTTACGCTCTTTTTGGAAAATAAAGGAGATCATATTCTTGTCCAGTGGCCCAAATTATGCAAAAAAAATTCCTTTAAAAAAGTAATTTTCATTTCATAAAATTGTGTTTTTAAACGAGCAGTATTTAGTTCCTTCAAACGATGTATTTCAATGTACATACATCATGAAAATTTTGTACAAAATTCCTTAGGCGCCGCCGCCGCCGCGCCGATATTTTCGTAACTCGGCGGCGGCGCGTGAGGAATGACAAACATCGGCGGCGTCGGCGTGGCTCGGCGGGGTATATCTCTAGTCCGAGTAATTCTACCTTGGGGTTTACACCGGACAATATTGTCAAGACAATTATGTCAAAATGATGTGTTTGTTGTAATATGAATTCGCCGTGTTTACAACAAACACATCATTTTGACATAATTGTCTTGACAATATTGTCCGGTGTAAACCCTAAATTTGGTGCAATTCAGTATTCCTCGGACCTAGACTAGTAAAACTGTCAAAAAATAAAAATTCGCTCAGAGCAAGAGAGTAACACTGAAAAGTACGGGATCGCTTTCTGCTAAAAAATGGTAACTTCTGTCAACTTCAACATGACCTCCAAATTTTGGTTGTAAATTCTATGTTTAATGAAAGGTGTTGTACGTTGTGACCATTGTTGGCAGTTTGCAGGATTTCGCCCTTTTTCGGGATTTTATGACTAAAAGGGGCGAATGGGATTTTCTGACGAAAAACGGGATTTTTGTCATTCCATACCAAGCAATAGAATTTAGTTATTGATAAATAAGAAAAGGCTGCCAAACTCTGTGGTAAAATAACGCCGTTCATATGAATTCTATCAGCGGAACTTCATTCACTTGAAATGAATTTTAATAGCAATTTTATGAGTTGTTCAAAATTAGTTTGGATATCTTGAGTTTCTAGATTCTGAACTTGTTTTAAACGATTAATGCAAAAATATTTTAAGTGATTCTATTACACGATGTTATACTGATCAGGAACTTTTTAATGGACCTAGTACAGGTCGTAGGGCTGGTCAATTAATTCACGAAACTGGCTTAATTAAAATTTTTCTAACACCTTAAAATTCTCACTTTTTTCTTAAAAAAAAAACATTTTAGCATGACTTCCGGCACTATATAACTTTTAGCTCGGTTATAATTTAACCCATTTTCAGTTTTTATATGACTTAGAAAGGAAGGATACTTATACTATTTTAAGAAATAATAAGTTTTGTGAGCATATTGCAAATATATGGAAAATTGTTAGGTCAATCTGAAATTTACACAAATTTTTATTATTTTTTCCATTTCTACAACATTTTGTGGCAAAATATCAAAAGAAAATTGTCTCTTTTAGTCGCTACTTTGAACATTCTGCCTATTTCTCGTTGTTCGCTTCGCGTTGCCGCAGTAT